TTCTAAGAAATTTTAGTCAGCTCAAATGGTGGGAATTCATATGTTTGGGGGATTTATTGTAAGCTTTTTGGGTGCTTGGGTGCATTAATATTTTCAGTCTTAGTTGAATTTGAATTCTCCTAACTTCAAGTTGCAACTTTGCGAACACTGAAAACGAATAACGAAGACGCGCGTTTAATAATAAGCGAGTCGCTTAAATTTCGAGCGCGCACTTGCGGGAATTATGCCCACTAATACACGCCGCGTGGTTGAAGAGATCCGCACGCACAACCCTTTTGTTCTCTGCGCGCTGGTTTCCTTCACTTTCTGTGTCTTCTTCGTTCGCGACTGTCGGCGGCGGCAGCGCGGTGTAGCTTTGCACTTACCGCCACTTATACTTTTACTTCTGTCGGCTCTCCCAGTGCGGGGGCATTCGAAAACTTTTCTCTCTGACGGCTGAAGCGTGTTCGTTTAAATTAATTCAATTTTGACAATTTGTAGAGTGTGCCGAGTGGCGAGGAACGAAAGATAGCAGGCAGACAGGCGGTGGCACTGCTGGCTTGGAGGGTGGTTTTTGGGGTTTGGATGGCACCCCCTATGCGCGCACGGTCGGCATGGCCTAATGGGAACGAATCGGAATGGAAACACACAGCGTACCGAGTTGATACATTCGTGCGATACGTGTGTTCGCGAGCGCGCGCCGGAAGTGAATTTAATATTTATTTACACCTGTCTGGGCCGCGCCGCGAAGGGAGCTGACTAGCTACCTCTTGTCACGCCACTATTATTTTAAAACTCGCAACGATGAAAAGATCTCGCACCTTGCACAAACACTCGACCAAAAACGATTATTTTTAACCCTCGGTATTAATCATACGTTAATTTAATTATTAAATTTTATTTTATTTCGTAAAGTTATTGTTTGCAGCACTTAGTTTTAAGTGTCCTGAGTGGTAGGGGCGGTAATTTCATAATTTTACAAAATTTGTCGATAGATGGCATTACTTACCACGTTAATTCTTTGAATACATTTTTGGATTATTCCAGTTGAAACTTTAATGTTTGTAGATTTAGCCTAATCACATCATAATTTGTCCCGTCGAGACGTTTCGGCGGTCGAGGCACTTGGAGGCGGTGGTTGGAGGTGCCGCTCGCTTAACGAGCCCACGCGACAAATTGCCATATAATTACAATGAGCGGCGGATTAGCGAATTAGTTTTAATTAGAATCCCTAATTATCCGGTGAGTTGGGCAAGCATTTACCTCAAAGTCTCACAATTTTAGAGCTTCAACCCACACTATAAACCTACAATATAATCAAAATTAATGCATTATTATATTGTTGTTGGTATCATTGTTTATAAAAAAGTAGATGTTGAAATGTAATTTTTGATAATTTTTAGCTTTCTAGTTAACCGATAAAAACGGATTTAATTTGAGTCTGCTCACAGAGCGGAGGCGAAAAGCATTTACCCCTGAGAACGAATTAAAATTAAATATTATTCCAGGGCGGCGGCCCACCGGCTCGAGCATATTATAATTAAAACAAATGCGCCCGAGGTGCAACTGCTTACCGTCGTCGTCGTGCACCGCCATCCCTTTGCTCTCGCCCGGCTTTGGCTTGCTTCTGATTACGTTTGCCGCTTTCAGCCCTTAAGGGAAGTGGGAAGCAAAAGCGTGTGCACGGGGTTTCCATGCGGGATTTTTCTACTTGCCAACTTTTCATACGTTTGCCACGTTTCATCGCATTTTATTGCATTTACATACACGGCATTTGCACGCCGACTACAGGATGTTATCGAAACAGCTTCATAACGTTGCTCATTATTATTGCTGCGGAAAAATTCAAACTCAGCTCGGTTGAAACAGTTCCAGCAAATTTGAATATTTATGAGCACGATTTGCATGTGAGATGAACACGGCGAGATGGCATCCGGTACGCACGTTCGACGCACCCCGAACGCCAAGTTTGAGTTAATAATTCTTCATTTGCAATGCATTATATTCATATTATATCAGTAGTTGCGCGAAGCCTCGCGGCGCGTCGCGGTATTTCATTATCTTGTTAACATTCTTCTTATTAGCATCCCGGTCGCATCGCGTTTTCATAACGGCTTCTTATTTGCATTCACGATCGCGAACTGCGGGCTGAATCTACATCGCACATGAGATAATATTTGTCTACATTGTTTCGGAAGGCATCAGCATCAGGTGGACGAGCAATGCAAACACAGTCGAAGCACCGCGAAAACAAAAAACATGCGAGATGTAGAGAAATGTATTAAGACAGTTGTGTGCTCACATGCGTTTTTAATGCGATGGGGGAATGAATAACATGAAAGTATAAGAGAAATAACTGAATTCCACTGAATTCTAGATGGAATTTTAGATTCGGGCGGAGTGACGTGACGTCCTCGGTGCGTGACGCTATCCAAATACTCTCGAACGCAGTCAAAAACATTCGAAAACGTTTCGGTACATCGGAAAACACATTCATACACAGTTTAAACGTCTTTAATATTTGATGGGGCGACGATACGATGAACTTCAAACGTGACTCTAACTCACAAATTCTCCACATTCAAATACATTTCTTACCACAAAACGAGATAAAAATAATAAATATATTTTTAGATAATTGAATGATCCATTTTATTCATTTAGGCCAGAAATAGAAATAAATTAGGTCATTATTTTTGTGAACGTGTATGTTTTGTATTTGTAATTTCATGAGGATGTAACCTTTCAATGTTATTATTTCGTGGTTGTTCTGATAGTTATCCTAAATTTTGCACACGGAATTTTTAATTTAAAGCTGCGAAGCTGTTTGCGCATGTAATTATAAAGTACGGTGTGGGGTACGAGGCAATTTGTCGACAATGGTGCACCGTTCTCCGCGACCACCGCCCGGCTTCGATGATAGTAATTTTACAGTTAATTGCTTCACATAAAATATTAGTGTAGGCGGCGGCGGGAGCATTGGCGCGCCCGACGACTCGCGGATTTATTCACGTGCTGGCAACGGCGACACACCAAACGCAGTTAAAATTATATGGATTACGCGCTGGCATACATCGTAATTGGTCCTTTTTGGCTCTACAAACCAGACCGGATATTTGGACTCAAACGCAAAGCCTTAAAAAATGCCAAGAGAACAAAACGTCTTATATCGACCTATATTCAACCAGAAAGTGGTAATCAAAATTTTATTTGAATTTTTTCAACATTAAATTGATTTTTATTAATATCTGATTTGATGGGTAATTGCATAATTTATTGTTTATATTTCATGACTTTGTATAAAGCTTACAATGTTGGCATCTAATAACTGTCCGTTTTACTCTTCGTCGTAGCCAAAATTGACGACATAAATACTGATAATCCCCATTCTTCCATGGCGTTCCAAAAAACGTTGTTCAAACTCCAAATTTTCTTGGCGCGTGAAAATTACGTTTGGCTTGCGCCTCGAATTCATGTCCTAATTGTCGTCGTCGGCGCCGCGCGTTCGACCCGCGCTTAATGAAAGTTGGTAATTTGTTTGAATCGGCTCGTCGCTCGCGCGCGCGTCCCGATGAGATTTCAAGGGCTTTCACCTTGACATAATTGATAAAGTTTCCAACCCGTACGTGGGCACCTCTTAACCTCGGTTCGTTACAACGCTCGTACATCAACCGACACTTGCACCTATTAGCAACCGGGTGGATGTTCAACATGAGTAACATCAAGAACTCGTGACCCAAGAGTATTCCGAAATCTTGCAAGGACATTTTAGAGTTTTTCACTAGTTGTAGAATTATCTGGTTACACTGGCGTACTAGAGAGCGATAAATGTGTCTTTGAAAGGGGCTGTGGTTCAAAGCGGACATAAAGTTCGCACACAAAGAGAGGTGTGGTCCGAACGCGGCGTTATGGTAATTGTGAGTAATGCGAACGCCATCCGCATAAATCAACCACTAATTATGCTCGCAAACATGCACACGCTGCAATAATATCAATGTTCATTAGAAATTATACGACTGGGGCCTCGTACAAACAGATAAACAGTGCTAACAAAAATAATACCACAATTCAAACCAGAAAACCTTTTTTAGATGGTTTTGCAGACAAATGCAAATTTTGGATTGAATGGATTATGGCAAAATAACAACATTCCCTGTTATGTTTCATCGAAGCATTTCGTGAACATCAGGTGTATTTTATGATCCACGATATACAGTCGTTGGTTGCGAGTCGGGAGTGCATTAATGCAGTCGGTCGGACGATTGTTAGTCCATTGTGGTGTAGGTTCGACGACGCGGCCGTATTGTTTCGTTTCATTGTAGCAGTTCGCTTTGTCACTGCACTGTGACCAGGGCGCACCAATTGAAATACATACTTAAAATTCGCGTTTAGCTCGTTTGCCTCTGCTCAACCCCTGCAGCTGCAAATGCTCCGTAAATATTGCAAAGGCCTTGCGCGCATCACAACCCTCTTCACTCTCTGCAGCACCATCCTCTGCTCGTCCTCTTCTATCCGCACTTCAGAGATGCCGGGTCGGAGCGGATACGTCCGGTGGTTCGATACCTGCGCGCCTGCGGCTGAAATTGATTTGCCTCGGAATTAGGGCCTGTCCGCGTCAGACCCGCCGCCACCAGGGCTAAATAATAAAGCCGGTATGGAATTGACATAAACGACAATATGTTGTCGTGATATGCCCGCCAGCCGGCCGGCGAGAGGATAAAGATATTCGCATACCCGCTCGATGGTTTCAACCCACACCAGCCGCCATCATTCGCGTCGTCCTTTGTTTATGTTTGCACAAAACTGGGCGACCAGACAAAACAAATATTGCATAAAAACAAAAAATCACAAAAACTTACAGAGTTACAAATAAGTATTCTAAAAATAATGAATTTCACTTTAACCATTTTCGTCAGGATGGAATTTTTATATATAAATGTAATCATCTAGTTGTTGATGTTGACGATAGTGCCTTTTTTCACTGTTGATAAAACTGTGTGTTTGTCTGTTCTCTGTTGCAGGGACTGACCGCACCGCCGCAACTCGCTGGCGACTTGTGGCGGGTCGCGTCCCAGCACACCCACCATCATCACAAACGGTGATGGTTTTGTGGTACGTTCTTGGCTTTTATACGTATCGATGTATAATAGCCAGTGCCATTCCTAAATCAGCGAATCCTTTATCACGAATACCAGCAGCCACCAATTCACAATCTTTTTCTGTATCTTTCTGAGTGTCGTCTCTATTTGTTCACTGTTCACTGTTGTTGGCTCATTTTCAATGTTTACAGTTTTGTCGACGTGCCCACTCTTATGTTGTTTTTTATCGTATGTAAATACGTTTACATTTAATGTAAGCGTTATGTGTTCTTATCATGCGTCACGCAATTTTGGACACGTCAACACATGTGAATCCATTGCTGCGCCTTTTTGTAGTAATGTTTATAGCAGCGCACATTTACAGTTTCTCATTACAGTTCTCTTAATGTTGTCATTTTTATTCTATTGCAGTATTGATGTTGTTCTGTATTTGTTCAATATATGTGTATACTTTTCTCTATGTATGTAGTTGTGTGTCTCTGCAAATCTTTAATTATGGGCTTTGACAGGTCAAAGCAATAGAAATTGAAAATATAAAAACAAAAAACGCTTGTAAAATCAAGCAAAAAAATACTGAAGACCAGTAAAAAAGTGCGCGTTTGATTTTGATTGCTAGCAATATAGAAGTCTTGAATTTTGCGGTGAGATCAAAAGTAAATTTGAAATATAACGCACACGCGCGCGCTGAACCGGGCCCGCCAGTGCCCCTTTGATCTCAACGATCTCAACCCCATCGGCCGAAAAGGATGTAGCGGGGCGGGCGAACGTAACGTCAGTCAGTTTACTTTGTAACGCGTTTCTGCATTTGATGTTTCGGTTATCCTCGCCGGTTTGGAACAAAAACGTGCAACAAAGACACCATCAAAATATTGAACCATTTTCCACGTTGGCTATTCAAACTCTTTAAACATTCAATTGTGTAGAAATTAGGTGTAGCTAATTATATAGCTAATTATATAGATATAGCTATATTTATATAGCTTAGTTTAAATTCCAATAAAGGAAGGATTCACTTATTTGTTTACACGGACACATCTGCGCTATGCAAGGCTGCAAAAGTAGAAGCAAATCCTGATTGAAACGTTACAAGAGGTATACATGATAGCTTCAGGTCTGCCGTTTGCTCAAGCCAGGTTTCCTCGGATTTTGGCACGATGCCAATCGACGTGCAGACGCTCCCAGCTCGCAGGCATAAAGTGTTTCACTCGCCCTTCAAAATTGCTTTCTGTCTGCTCACGCATCAAAAAAAAATGCAAAAAAGAACGAACAGGCAAGACATGCTAAGATATCCCAAGACAATCCAAGACATCCCTATACTTGCCAAGGTTGACTCGAATTGAGTTTCTGGAATATTTCGTGGTTGAAAAAGTGTTCTGCTGCGTTGTACCTTCTACCACTTTTCTTAATTAGGATTAGGGTAAAATGCGACGTCATTATAAGAAACTCTAGCTTAATTTTTTATCTTGAGGGATACTTCTGAGGGTGGTTTAGTGAAAAGTTTTTTTGTTCCGGTTTTTGTGGGTATTTAGTCACCTCGTGATCATTATGCACGTATATCGTACCGGCACGCACTTAATTTTCCAAAAAGTACCCCCAGATTAATTTATAATTCGCCCCTTGTTCCGGCACATCCTCAGATAAAGCACTTTCACAGGAATGAAGATGTTTTGCTGTTGTTTTCGGGCGCGTTGGAAAATGATTAAATTACTTACTCGCATCCGCATCACGATAAGGATGAGTATCAGGGTCGGTTCTAGTGCGTCCTTGACCCTATCCAGACCGATTTAAACACCATCGCGCCAAGTTTAAACCGAAAACAATGTTTTTGTCAGTGGTTCTTGTTGTTTACGTTTACCTTTATCTTAATACTGCTCGTATTTTGAATTCATCACGCTTAATCGATATTTGCGCTAGAAACTGAGTTTGTTAGTGTCTTATCATCAGCACAACATAATAATGTTTTAATGGCTACGGTTTTAGCTCGAAAGGCAGGACAAATCGTTAAATTTACACGTGCACTTAGGGGTAGATACTTCTACGTAAAGTACCAGTACTTGGAACTAAGTCTAATCAAGTTTTAATTACACGTTAAAATTTTGATTATCGTAATAGCTTTAGAATGTTCGTTGCATGATTTTGAATTTTTTGATAATTATGTGTATTTTTAGCCAATTATAAATATTAATTTCTGTTTTTATTTTTCAGGTAAGTTCCAGAGATTATTATAAAACATCTTATCGAGTGCTATTATTTATATTGGTGAGTCTAATTAATTAAACTAGCATATTTCATACATAGGACAAGTCGTGGTTGGAATAAAACGAAAATGCCTGCGAAATTCCCTTAAATTTTAACTAAAATTCAACTAAAACAATTACCTTAAAAACGGTGATGATTTATATGTTCCGGTGAAGCGCTGAAGCGCCGAAACGCCATAACGCACGGATGGCGAGTTGGTGTGTCGACGGCGCTTTCGCCACGTACCGACCGCATTTAGCCATTCCTGTGTGGCTGCAACGGCGCAGGCACATTCGGAATATTATTCCGATGAGTATTCAAGTAATTAGTATGCAAATGTTAAGACAAATGCGTTCCGCAAATCCCGCACGACGTCGAAAATGTGTGCGCGCGGTGGCGGCGGCTGCCGGCGGTTAAACCGCGCCACACAACGGCATCCACAGCACACATAGCAACATTTTCCACATATAACAACCACGAATACTTTAAACCACTTGCTCTGTCTGGTTTATTTTATTATTTTATTAATTTTCTATTTCAAGTTATTTCCTTAAAAAAATTAAAAATTTTGGGTTTTGAACCTATTTAGTGGCAGAACATTTCAATTCAAGTTGAACCTGAAATTGGTAATTCAATTCGTGGATTTCCACGTTAGTCCTTGCGAGGACTGCAAGGTATTAACATTATTAATTCATTAAGGCCAGTTGGCAACCCAAGGGTATAACAGGGGTAATGTTTCGATATTAACGGTCGCAAGATGCGAATGGGAAGTATAAATCGCCGCCCCGAATAATTCACACACAAAAGATCGAGCGCCGCCGCCGCTGCCGCCGACGGGCGCGTGTTTATGAGAATTTTATTCATTGTGTAATGTGCTTAATGGCAATACCTGCTGCATGTATGCATAATTTCACGGCGCATTGTGCCGGCAAACGATCGAATAACTATGTGTAAAATGTGTGTTTGTTCGGCTGTGCCCTTTGTACGATATTAACATAACATACAAGAACACGGCAATGCCAGAACGTTGGGCACTAAATTGGTGCGTAAATTATATCGGATTATGGCCGAAAAGGGCACGGAGAAATGCGAATAAATGTCTAGATATAGTCTATAACTAGTCATTCTTAAAACTATATTTATTAAAGAAAAATAATGTAATTTTTCCTAGTTTATCATGCATTTTCTAATTTTCAAATGTCTGAATATATGTCTACAGTCAGTTATGGATATGTCATCATCCTGACTTGATGAATGTAACCGTAATGAAATTCATAGCGATATAATCGGCATGTTTTGTTAAGGAGAATATCGTGTTTTTGTCGCTTCGCTCTATTGTCGCCACGGTGTTCTCCAGCGCTGATATGAAGCTTCCTCGCCGCCTGCGGGCAGACCCAAGTCGGCTACGTGCGCGCCAGGACGAAGACGCCTGGCGAGGGTGAATGTCATCACATCTTATGATCATCAGTCTTCATTACAACCACAATGGGAGGTCCTCCCTGCGCGCGCGTGACAACATCTCCCAAGGAGTCCCTCTGACGAGACCCGTTCTCGGAGATTCTTCCTATTCTTCCTTGGGTGGTAGAAACGTGCTTGCGCCATGTCACCTTCCATATCCACAACTACTCCTCCGTTTTCCATCTCCCAGGTCCAAGTAATAGACGGCGTCGGTTGATAGGATGTTGGTGGTTTGTCGTGGATGAGGACAGGGAACTGGGGGTTGATGTACGTGTGTGAAGATCAAACGTGTTCCTTGCGAATCAGCCGAGCATGATGATTGCGCAAAGGAATGATGCCCGCGTTGCGACAACATTCTGTATTTTCCAGCGCCTTTGGAGATGCTTTTGTCTCGCATGCCGCTGTGTGTCGAGGATGAGTTGAGGTTTGAGCTATGATCGTCCCGCGTCTGGTCTGCCGCTGCAGCGGGGAGAGCAAAACTAATCCGGTTCCTCTGATAACTTAAATTGCGCCGCGCGTTGGGCGACGAGCAATGAACACGACATCCAACACAAGCACTCTCACACACAGTCAACTCACCAACCCCCGGGTACACCCCTTAAGATGGGGTCGCATAGCGCGCACGGTGCGCTGCATTTCTATTTCAAACATTCGAGCATTTCCAACGCCTTCCGACTCGTTCATTACGTCGCCCCACGACAACGCCGGGCATTAACATTAAACTTTTGCTAGATTGAAACTCTCTACTTAATTTACGAACGACGCAAATTCTGTACAATTTTGGTCCGCGCTCAGTGTGAATCCCGTCGCTTGCGGGGGTGTTAATCTCGAGCGTTATGCGAGTGAGGTCATTAAATGCCAACTGCTTTATAGGTCATTGCATACTTTTCCCTTCAAATTTCCAAATTCATCTTTGAGTATACTGCAAGCCTTGAAACAATCCCAAAATGTAATGATATAAAATCAAGTTGATGCTTTGGGGGTAGAATATTTTTTCACAAAATCGAATTGCGGTCTGCGGTCTTGTTTAGATGTTTGTATTCTTTGGGGTGCGGAATGAGACCAGTGAATGTCATGAGCATGAACGTGGACGTGGCCGAATTTGGAGTTTCCCAGTGAATGGATGTGGACGGAAGCACGGAATATAAAAAAGTTTTGGATATATTTTGTCCAGCTTTACGACTTTCTCAATAACAGTTTGATTGATATGCCACCGGAACTGCTTCCTTCAATTCCTTCTTCAAGTTATTTTTCTCCAGAGGGACAAATCAATTCTGGATTGTATCATAACAGAAGGCTACAGACTGTTTTCTAAAA